CCTAAAATTTACCTAAAAGTTTTGCATGACTGCTAATGTCTTATTCAGGGGTAGCAGCAAAGTTTTTTAAAATTTTAGGGTAATTTTAGGAACTTTTTTCAAAAAATTTTAGGTAAATTTTAGGGGTAATATATGATTTTGCTAGGATAAAAACAGATCACACAGTAGTTTATTACATAACAGAAGATTATTACAATTCATCCANAAATTTCCCCGAGGAAAAATTGGAAAAGTTTATCTTTGGTGTTGAGTCGAAACAATGTAAAATTAACAATTGCAGCTTATTATAGTTAAATTTATTCATCGAAATTACACAGCTTCTTCAACTCTGCACTGGTAAAAAACTTTCAATGTTCCAAAAGAATATAATCTTTTAGAATCTTCGGAAAATCAAGCTGGTCGACACCACATGGAAGCTGAAGGCATGCCGCCAGTTGCCGACGAATGGAACACCTTGAAAGATGGGCCAGAGATCTTGGTCCTCTGAGTGAGATGGCGTTTTCTAGCACATGGTTTACATACCAATCCCATGCTGCAGTTAAGATACTTAGACCACGCTCATCATATACTGTGAAACTCTTTTTAAACTCCTCCTGAAGCAGGAATGGTTCTGTTATACTATTCCACAATAACTTCAGTGAGTAGGGTCCTGTAGTTGAATCCACGTCAGAATTTGGTATAAAAAACAAACGCAGAGTTTGCAGTGCGCGGAATGTTGTAGAGTTGTATTCATAGTCACTGTTCACTGTTAATATCACAGACGCACTGACACTTGAAAAAAATATAATTTAAAATTACTAAAATGTAAGGGTAGGTGCAATATAATGATAAGCCACAGTTGCCCAAAATCGACATTTTCACATCAAACAGTTCATTAGCATAATTTCTAGATAAATACTTTACAAATTTCTAGAACTTCCACCTGATAACAGTACAATTTGAAAGTGTGGCTTATCATTATTTTATTTTATTTCCAGCTTAAGTGCAAAGATAAATATAATTAATGAAAAGAAAATAATTAATAACAAAATACCTTGTAGTATTTATTCATAAATCCTGATTTGCTGTAAAGTATTTTAATTTCTAACCGTCGTTTCACAGCCGACGCAAATTTGAGTTTACGTCTACCAATGTTCAACCCCGTAACCTTGTAATTTTGAACCCAATCCAGAAGACTAGGGAATTCCTGGATGATTACCCCCAGATGTATTGATTTGTTTTGTTAACTTGGAGGACTTTGTGACTCCAACAGAATTTAGCGCGCACCAGTCATCATTTAATACACGGAAATTCATCGGTCTGTTGGATTTGAACTTCCGTTCACGCGTACGCAACTTCAACGCCTGCCCGGCCTGCTTTATAAAATATTCCTTGCTCAATTCAACCTTAATCTTACAATTTGAGAGCTGAAACAAAACTAATTTCTTCCGCCTTTTTTTTGGAAAAAAGAATTAATGCTACGTCTCATTTTATAAGTTATCTAGTTTGACAATTACCGCTTTAGGTTCCAAATAAAAGCATTTTCAAAGTCATAACTCGTTATTATAATTATTGTTTAGTCATTTTTTATATAACTTTATGTCTGTTACTTTTATTATGTCAGAACGTGGTTAAAATTTTAAATCGCATTGAAAAGGAGAATGGGAGGTCGTTGAAATATAGTGTAAACATCTAATGGTGGAGGGGTTTTATTATTTGCTAATTTTTCCCTGCAAATTTGGAGGATTGGTAAAAGTAATGTTTATGATACACTTGTAAATCCTCTTGTATCCAATTATCTTTCTTCAAAAATCGAAATAAAAAATGTAACAAGAAATTAAAAATTATCCTGATATATTCAAAGAAGACTCCTTGGTCTCTTTTCCACAAGTGACGCAGTTTTCACAAGTTTTAAAATAATTTTTACCCAAATTAATGAAAATTTCAACCAAGGAAAAAAAAAAGATGTTCTTTTTTCTTCTAAAATCCGCGAATTTCTCTATATGTTTCGATTAGAGCTAAAATTTCTTACAATTAGAATTTTTTTCATTTTTATTTAACAGAATTTTTAACATTCCTGTAAAGCCTCAAATTAAACATGTAAAATTGATTGGACATTTAGGAGTGTGAATCCTTAGAAAAATTACAGAAAAAAAGTCCAGTGATAAGAGATAAACCCAATCTTGTCGATTAAGGTTTTAAGAAAAAATTGTTATACAAGCTATTGTACTGAGAATCCCCATAGCCATCGCAGCTCTATATTACATATTTGACTCTGGGCCAAGGGCTTTTTTGTGAAGGAATTATTGTATTTTATCAAATAATTTAAAAGATAAGACGTGAATCTGGTCATATTAGGGTCCGATATGTTGGGAAAAAAAAGTAAATTTCAAAAAAAAAAGAAAAAAAAAAAAAGAGCGTTTTCTATAGTCCAAAAAAGTATATTCCGTCACGGTTAAAATTATAAAACCTATTTTAAAAACTGTTATACATATTTCTAAAAACTTTTAATTATCAAATCATTTTATAGAAGGAAAATCCGACCAGCAGTTCTAAAAGTGCTCCTTTTTCTTTTTTTGTTATAAATTTTACTAAATTCTCTAGAGCAGCAGCTTTTAATTTTTTCCCCCCTAAATGATTAAACTTCCCTTGGTGGAACACGGATTTTTAAAGAAAGATAATTAGGATATGTGATTTTGTGAAATAGTAATAAATTTTTTTTTCATTCTTTCATCTATACCAGTCTTAAAGTTAGACTTTATGCTAGGCAGCCGAATTTGAAAGTCTGCAGCAACTCTTATAGTATATTACTTCTTGTCGCATGCATAAATCAAATTGAATAAATTAACCAAATTACGGTATTTGAAGAAGATATATTTTAAAATGTCAAAGTTATCAGAGAAAAATAATTAGTAATTCTTAAATATGGTAACTTTATTTTAAACTTTAAAGTTCGATGAGAATTGCTGATATAAATGCAAATCTTTTTAGTTATTTATTCAGTATATTGTTAATAGAAAAACACATAATGATAAATTTTAAAATTTTCTATTTTTTTTTTGGAGGAATTATTTAATTTAAATGATTTAAGAATAATGACCAAATTAGTAAAATTAATTAATTATTGGTTGACTGCAAACTTAATACAGGTTTTAAAAATTATTTTTAGTTTAAAAAAAAACAGCGCCTTACCCCTGTGAACTTTCCACAAAACACTAGGGTTCCACGAAACACCTTTATGCAGGCTTGAGGCCCACTCTTTTCAATAAACATTTGCGCCTCTGCTTAAGACTGCCGCTTTGATAATCAAATTTAAAGGTTGCGATTTATTGTCAATTAAATTTATTTATTAGTAAATCTACTATTATTATTTTTGATTATTTATATTTTAATAAAGTTCTCTTAAAAATTATTTGTCCGTTCTTCTGCAGCAACCTTTAGTCTATTACTTCTTGTCGCATGCATAAATCAAATTGAATAAATTAACCAAAAAGAAATATTATAAAATGTCACAGTTGCCAGAGAAAAAATAATTAGTAATCCTTAAATGTGTAACTTTATTTTAAAGTTCGCTGAGAATTGCTGATATAAATGCAAATATTTTTAGTAATTTATTCAGTACATTGTTATCAGAAAAAAACTTAATGATACGTTTTAAATTTTTCCATTTCTTTTTTTTTATTGGGGAATTGTTTAATTTAAATGATTTCATAATAATAACCAAATCAATAAAATAAATTAATTATTGGTTGAAAGAAAACCTATTATACGTTTTAAAAATTATTTCTAGTTTTTTTAAAAAAGTGCCTAACCGCCGTGAACTTTCCACAGAACACCATGGTTCCACGAAACACCTTTATGGTGACTTGCGGCCCATTGTTTACAGTAAACATTTGCGCTTCTGCCTAAGGCTGCCGCTTTGCTAATCTAATTTAAATTTTGCCATTTATTGTCAATTAAATTTATGTATTAGTAAATCTACTATTATTATTATTTGTGATTATTTATATTTCAATAAAGTTCTCTTAAAAATTATTTGTTCGTTTTTTTTCTTCTTCACACCCTGTAAGCAAGTGGATTTTTAATGTGAGTCAAACCGGTTTAATGTGAGTTGTTTCACTCCAGTATAATTAAAAATAAATTTTACTTCACATGAATAGTAATAATTGATAGATATTATGCTGATAACTTGCAAAACAAATAAAGCGTAAAAATTTTTAGAAAATAAAAATACTTTCTTTGTTTTTTTTTACTTTATAATTACAATATTTTAAATACATACTGTAATTAAAAAAAAAAAAAAAGTGTGTCTGGTGAATAAAGACATTTTGCGGAAAAATAAAAAACAATTAAGCAGATATTTGGTGATTACGTGGGAGTGGATAACTATAAATTAAGCAGTTTTCTACATTTTGGGGCAATTTGTAGTTGATATATAAAAAAAAGTAAATGGTACTAAAAATTATCGTTAGAATATTTCACAATTTCATATTCTTAACAGTTTGAGATGAAGAATAATAGTTTAACAAACAGAGAATAAATAAATAGAAGAATAATAAAACTTACTAGCTCAATAAATATGTCAAAAAAAAAAAAAAAGTGCCTAACTCACGGAACCCTTGTGACCTTTTCACAGAACACCCGGGTTCCACAAAACACCTTTTGGTGTTTCTAAAGCTTCTTCAACGTGAATGGAGATTAAAGACTTGCGGCCCACTGCTTTCAATAAACATCTGCGCCTCTGATTAAGGCTGCTGCTTTGTTAATCAAATTAAAATTTCGTTACCTATTATCAATTATTTATTAGTAAATCTACTATTATTATTATTTATTACTATTATTATATTTATTATACTACTATTATATTATATTATACTATTATATTATATTTATTATACTATTATGCTGATATTCGGGTTATTACGTGGATAACTGTAAATTAAGCAGTTTTCCAGATTTTTGGGCAATTTGTAGGGTTTTTGCACTTGATACAAAAAAAATAGTAAATGGTACTAAAAATTATCTATAGAATATTTCACAATTACATACTTTCAACAATTTGAGATGAAGAAGAATAGTTTAACAAACAGTGAATAATTAAATAGAAAAATAATAATACTTACTTGTACAATGCTGACACCCAATATTCACCACTCTTTATTGATATGCACTCTGACTTTCCAAATTTGATTAATGGAATAAGAAATTCAACTTTTCTATATATAAAACAATTAAATAAATGGTAAGATCTCCTGTCTACTTTTTTCCATAGTAACAATATATGTAGTTTAAGTTCGTTTGCTGCTCTAAATATATCTTCTAACACACAAACCTCATCGTCAGTCAGAAAATCAGACAGATAATAATATCGATCTGTGCTAAGCAATCTCAAAAGTTCGAGAAATACACTCTGGTGAACGCGAAATTTAGATGAAAGCCTTAAAAGTTCTTTCATTATCATACTAAAAGGACGGATAGGTAAAAGATAGCGAGCCTCTTTGCAGATTTCAATCGCTTTTATATAAAACTTCAGAGCAGACGATAAATACCGACTGCATCGACTGCATTGGTTTTCTTCGTGGAATTCAATCAGAAGGCGGCCACACCACATTAAGCTCCTGTAAGGTGACCTAACACCACGAAAATTTTTTTTCAAAATTTTAGTTGATGAAATATCATCATCACATGTTGGTACCATTATGGTTTCTATTCGAAAAGAATCATCGGAAAATAATCCCAAACCACCATTAATTTCTTCAATATATCTCTCCTCATCTTTAGAAAAAACAGTATCCTCTTTTTCGAGCTCGCAATTGCAAATTATTCCATTTGGGGCATTCTTTTTCAGATGGAAAGCTTTGAAAACAAGTAAGAAATCGCGATAGTCCACACTTGTGGTAGCCATTATATAAATAAAATTCCAAAGGAAAAGAAATGTTAAACACGCTTCGAAATTTCGATTTGGAACTACTTTTACAATTGCTACAAACTTTTACTTCTTGAAAGAAACCACCAGGTGACTGGATACCCGTATTTCAAGTTTTAAGAAAGTCGTTTATTATTATTTGAACCACATGAATGGAAATATAACTTTAGTGTGACATTGACAGTGTGTTCGATTCTCGGAAGAAATCTATTGCCATCAAGATATGAAATGAATGGTCAGCTCTACCCTTCCCCCTTCAAATTACTAGTAAATAAACCTGCCCCAAGATTCCACCACTCACATTACCTCCTGCTGGAGGATTAATTACAGTTTTAATACTGGCACCGTCATTCCTGTCCCAGATTTTAGATGCTCTTAAGGGGTTGCTAGGTTAGATGAGCTATCCTTCACATTTCTGCTGGTATTTTAAATAAAAGTTTTGATAATTTGAAATGTGATGGCTACTTTATCGGGATTAATGATACGATATTACAAGCTAATTTTAGGGAAAGTATCTTCCTGTAAGGTTTAAAAAATTAGCATAAATAAAGAGCATATAAAAATAAAAGTTTATTAAAAATTGAAATAGGATTATAAACAGATTCATAATAAAAATCTGCTTTTTCTTTTCTATTGTGCAGATTTATCTATTAATTTATTCATTAATTTTAAATATTATTAAGAAAAGTTGTTGTTTCTTTTTTTTTTTTGCCAATACAAATGTTTTTAATATAAAATATTCAAAAAAAAAGAAGAAAAAAAAGTAATAAAATATATTTTTCTTTTGCTCTTGATATGGCTCCAAAGAGAGTTTTTGATTCTTTCGTGAATTTATATTTTAATATTCGTGAATATGCATTTCAATTTTCTGCAAAAATATTTTTGGTTCTTCGTTAAACTTTAATACTTTAAATTTTTTTACGATGTTTGGTCATATAAACTTAGAACATAAATTTGACCTTTTTTATTTTTCAGTTTTTTTTTCTTTTAAATTTGATATCTATCAATTTGTATTCTGACACGAAAGTAGTTTATTCACGATTCTCAGAAGAAAAAAAAAATTTAAAACACTTTTCTTCTTTATATTGCATTCGGTAAATATTTTAAGAGACATAGATTTCTTTTATTATAGATATTTTATGGCAATTAAAAATTAAGTACCTGTTTTTCGTCTGTTTTAGGAAACAATATAAAGAAAATCTCGCCGTATTTATTAAAAAGTAGGATTAAAAGCAAATTACAAGTAAAATAAAAAAAAACAATCTTTACAGATATTTTGTAAATAAAGTACGTATTATAAACACAGTAAGTAAAACAGGCATTTTTTTAAAAATTTTGAATATTATTGAGAAAGATTTTTTTTTGAAAGATACCCTCACAAAAATGATAAATGCGCCCTACCTTAGACTTAACAAAAAAAAACTTACATTTATAATATGAGACAAGAACACTATGAAGAGACATTTAGGAATTTATAATCATTCATTTTATTCTAATTTATTTTAATTTAAATTACTTTAATATGAATTACTAGTCGCGATGAAAACGTGAATTCGAAAAGGTACTAAATTGAAATAATGTAAAACAACTGACTGAGTAATAACATTGAAATTTGATTTATCTCAATAATACACGGAAGTAACTCACTATCTTACAACAAAGATATTCAAAGTTTAGTTAAGGGTAATTTTTGCGTATAAAGTAAATATAATACTGACATATTATATTAATATATAAATATCTTATGAAATATGAAAATATTTTTATTGAAATTCCTATGGTAAGATGCACAGTCTTATTGAATGATGGGATGTGTGCCCAGGTATTTAGATATGTTGACCGCAATTCTGATAGTTTTAATGTAAACGTGTTTTAGACGCAGTACTTTTCGTTAATTAACTTAGTGATATATTTGTATTAAATTAAATTAATTTTTTATCCTAATTATTTTCTTTTTCTTCTTCGTTTTATCAATTTACTTAGTAGTTTAATTAAATGAAATTATTTTACACATTAACACTAAAAATTAAAGATAACCAAAGTAATATGTTCTTAAAAAAAATTTTTTTTTTAGTAATATAGATAAATAAATATATATCAAAAAACATAAAGATGGAAAAAAGGGATAATTTTTTTATCACATCGCGTACCACAAGAGTATATTTTAAAATATATATTCTATAATGTTCTTGAATGAAAGTATAAAATTAACATTACTACAAATTAAATATTTTAATTAAGGAGATCGTATAACTAAGGAGATCGTATAAAGAGATCGCAAGGAGACGCATAACTCAAAATAAGATTCAACATTCAGTTTAGATTAAGTTCAATGTATTTTTAACCTTAGGACATTGATATTTAGTGAATTATAATAAATTTTACGAACGTTGAATCATAAAATAGGTTTTGAAACTTTGGAAATTCGGAGTGATAACCTCCGAAAAAAGCGATCAGAAAACTACATTGATTTAAATTTGGCGCGTTTAGAAACTTAGATGCGTAACTCAAAATTTCTGATTTCCCTCCCAAAACAAATTATAATAGTTTTTTTTTTACTGTGCTCAGGGGCTACCGTGGGCCGTAGGTTGTACAGCTCTTGTAGTGTAGTATTTCTGGATCAAGCGCCCTAAGCCCTTGTTCGTATTATAGTGCTTTTAGCTTTAAGAAAGTTAATAAGGGTTGCTTAATTTCTGAAAATTATAAACCGTTGTAACTTACGATTTAATAATGAAATAATATTTTATGTGTTATAACTTACTGTGTATGATTACTATTTTGCTGTTTATAAGCATTTTATTATATTTAGGACCATTTCTATTATTTATAATTACTTATTTCATATTTGCAATTGATAAAATGCTTAACTTATCACAAAAACTTTTAATTTTAAAGTTACAATAAGTATCTAAATTATGTGTAATAAATAAGTTTCAATAAAAAGGTAAAATGCATGAAATAAACTTTAAACTTTTGTTTTGTTAAGTAGCTGTTAATTTAAGTAACAGCATTTTTTAAAGGCTTGTTAGTTTACGTAATCTTGAACTCAAATGAAAAAAAATTTGTATAGCAATAAAAAAAACCTTTTTCCTTTTTTTTCTTTCCTGATTGTCTAGACTTTTTTTTCACTGTTGCAGATTTATACATTTTAAAAAACAATCTTTTCTTCTCTTTTATATCATCTTTTACAATAAATTATAATTTGCAAACACAAGCAGTACAATACGTTTCTTTTTCTTTTTTTATTTAAATTTAATAATTTCTTTCTAGAAAGTTGTAGTTTCAATCGTTGTGCTTTATTGAAATAGATTTGTAGCAAAATTTTCGTGTTTTGTTACTCTCTTACATTGAACCCAACTCAGAAGACAAGGGTGCAAAGTAGTTGCACTTTATTTGTCATTTGAGGATTTAATTTTAGAATTTTTAGTTATACAATTTCAGTGTTGTCGCTCTAGCCATAAGGGTTACTGAGGATTTTTTAAAATAAAAAATTCGCGGTTTTAGTGTTTCCAGATGCAAAAATTTGTAATTAAGCGAATTTTTAGTTACTAAATTGTTTTTATATTTTACGATGTTTTTTCTTTCTTTTTTAAAACCTTATTATTTACCATTGTGCATGTAAAATGAATTATGAAAATGTCACTCGGAAAAACTTTTTCTTTCATTTGTTGCATAAATTTGCAAAAGACTTTTTTAATTGGAGTTAATCGCATCAGATAAGGATAATCTAAATTAATAATACAATATTATTTGAATAAAATCAATAAACGCGAGTATAATAATAGCTAATGAATACAACAAAATAGCTTTAGAAATACTTAGCCAATATTTAAAAAAGAATTTCACTACAGAGAGAAAAAATTATGCAAAAGTTTTGTTTTTTTCCTTCATAAATTTTTAATTTATCATTTTACTAACAATATGAATTTTTCAAATATCAAACAACAGTTTAAGAAATAACTGAAAAGTTTTTTTTAGTCAAGTATTTTCTTAATGAAATTTTTAACAATATTTTTTTAAAAATAATGTGATTTTAGAAATTTTTTAATATTAATCTTAATGATATTTATTCCTAAAATATAACAAAAGTTTAAAGAAGAAAAGAAAAAATAATCAAGCATGTGTCGATATTACAGTTCAGAGGTTTCCAACTTACATGAGGTAGGGGGCCTCTATTAAAAACACCAGTCAAATGGCTTGCAGCAACTTTCTCAAAATTGTGTATAGGACTCTTTTATGTTTGAAGCAACATTAAGTATTACTGTAAGATTCTTTTAAAGTGCATAACAAAGGTATTAAATTACAAATCAGAATACGAAGCAGATTTTTACCTGAGAAATAAATATTTTTGCACCGTTGGCATTTTTTCTATTTCAATTCAATTTTACTGACTTTTTTGTATTAATACTTTCAGAACACAAAAAAATACTGAATTACTGATATACCTTCCTTTAAAACGAAGTCCATAAAAAGTTAATTTCAGTTATAACATGAAAAATACCTAGTGCATAGCTTCATTAAAATACTTAGTAAGCTAATTAGGGTTTTATAACAATATTTTTAAACAGCGTATCTGCTTAAATAATAACATTTTCTCACAACTTATTAAAAAGTCCAATGCGAATAAAGTAAAACTTGTAACGGTATTGGCAATTTAGTATTTTTCTGCAATTTTTAGAAATGAATTTGAAAAAGGAATGAAAAAAATGTTAAAATTCGTTTTCCTTACAAGCCAAAAATGGTTCAATTATAATTAAATTTAATAATTATAAAAAATTACTTTTAAACAAATATTTTTTTTATTTTTTAAATGCGTGCTAATATTTTATGATTCTCTTAAATAGTTCTGAAAATATTGTGATATAATCAAAATGAAAAATTAACAAGAGAATAGAAAAAATGTGCATATCTAGAGGAAAGCATATTTTCATAATTTATAAAACGATTTCATAATTTATATATCTTGTGAGGCGTTTAAATTTAATTCTTTAACAATTTTGTTTAAAATAAAGCTTTTTAGTATTTGGCACGTGTAGCATGAAAAAATGTGTGCCTTACTAATTCTTTGAAGCTAATCTTAATTTATTGAATTTAAATTGCAAGTAATGGTTTTTAAGGTTAATATTTTTAATAAATTTTTGTAAGCTCAATCGATATTGAAGTAGATAATTTTTATTAGAGTTGAAACAGCACTCCTTTTACTCATTAAATTATAATTATTAATTTATTCAATCGCTTATCTAATTTTTTTCATTGATAAATAAATAGTTTAAGACTTTTATTTCTAAATTTTTATGTAACAGCACAGAAGGTATACCGTATACTATTTGTCTTCTTTGAAAGATATATTTATGATATTCTTCTTATTGAATAATTAAAAATTAATACTTAGTATTATTCCTTAGAACTTTCAATTATTATAAAAGATAACTGTTCGAGTAGTTGTGTGTACATATAAAAAATCAGCCAGTGAATAATGTAAGGCTCCCTAGTAAGTACTTAACCCAGGGTTACCCCCTTAAAAGAAACAAATACTTTTCGAGAAAAAATTATTCAAAAATCAATCACAAGAATTATTTCCTTCCCATTAGAATTTATATTCTGCTACAAATGTAAATTTTCACTTTAAAAAAAATTTTTTTTTTTCAAATTGACTCTTTAGTTTTCGATCTAAAACATTATATCAAGAAAGGTCCATTCACTCATTAGTTCATGTTAAGCCCCTTACACAAAAGGAGAAGTGATAATTCAATGACGGACTGAAAAAATGAATGTAATGCGGAACAAAAATTAAGAAAATAATACAGTGTTCCCTCGCCACTTCACGCTTCATGTTTTGCGGCTTCAGTGCTCCGCGGGTTTTTCCAAAATATTCATCAAAAACTAAAAATGAAAAAATACAACCATGTCGGCAGCGACATTGCGTAAAGAAGCGTTGTTTCATGTTGATGCGCGAGAGAGAAGGATCCCAGCATGTCAAACAAAGAGATGAGTTGACTCAGAGTACATATACTACGGGCTCTCATAAAGGCCAGGCTTCAAGGCTCACAAAGACCGTGTGACTGTCATCACAGCTGGCAATGCTGCAGGTTTTATGATTAAGGCAGGCCTTATTTATAAAGTCAAAAATCCACGGGCATTCAAAAACAAAAATACAATTCTGTTGCTCGTGTTCTGGATGCATAACTCCAAGGGCTGGATGACGAAACCTCTCACCCTTGAATGATTCCTCCACTGCTTCATTCACTCCAGCTGTATCTGGCTGAAGAGGGCCATCCCCCTTAAGGTCCTTCTCCTGATGCACTGTGCAGGAGGCCATGCAACAGACCTGCAATATAATGGTGTGCAGGTAGAGTTTCTGCCCACGAACACTACACCTCTTATTCAGCCGATGGATCAAGGGGTGTCTTTAAAGCACTCTACACTCGATTTTGTAATTAATCTTATTAATTAGTACAGACATGTTTAAGTAATTATTTATACTGTTGTAATTTTTGTCTTAAGTGTGTAAATACTGTTTACATATTTAAAACTTTCGTGCATACACGAAAATTCCTATTGGCAAATCCTACTTCGCGGTTTTTCAGCTTTCAGAAGGTTCTGGTTCCCATTAACAGCGAAAAACGAGGGATCGCTGTAAAGAAAATATTTACTAATACAACATTTCAAAACTAGGACTTAAGAAATATTTTTTTTTCATTATTAAAGGTAAATTGAAATATTAGAATTTATGAGAGTCTTAAATTTTTCAATATCATTAAAAAGCAGGGGGAAAAAAATATAATAAACAGTAAAATTCGTTTATTAGTCACCAAAAGTTCTTAACTTCCCTTCTTGGGAAACATGCAATTTTGTTAACACCTGTTGCTCCTTAATTATTTTGAATGGAGTTAAAGGGGACGACTTTCCCCCTTCCTGTCTCTTCATTATGGGTTAAAAAACGCCATTCTGAAAAGTCTCCTAATGAAAGGCCACATTTTCTACAATACTGTAGGAATTATAAGGTTAATAGGCCCACCATGAATCGTCTGGCCATTCTCAGAATCGTCAAGTAAGACCACACACAGCCATTCATAGATAAGCCATTCTATAGCCTATACGAGAGATAAAATCCAGGAGTACGATAAAGGCGTGACGTGAATCGAGTTAAATCAGGTCCTCACAGGTTACTTCTTATACACTAACTCTAAAATTTATTTAAAGTTCGTGTCCTTCTGTCTCGTTAAGACGTACATTCCGAGTTGGAAGTGGTAAAATATGGAATGTTTCACACCAGAAGAATCCGAATTCTTGAAAATTGTTTATTTGAAAGTAACACCGAATGATAAACCTTTAGATGAATTTTTTCTTTATGATATTTATGAGGAAAGTATAGTTTTGGACTACCCCGATAAGCTTAAAGAACTTCTTGAACTTGCGAATGGAATGAAATTGGACTTTCTACAGTTATTCAAAAATAAGCCGCACATGAATGCTGATCTATCTCACAATTCTTTGATACGCAATCCCAGAATTTACATACTGATTACTGACTTTGGTGGATTGAACGAATATAACAGTCGCTTGTGTGGATCATATTTACTTGGGGCTGCAGACCAACAGTTAATGTAAGTTTTCTTTAGCATTATGAATTAGTAACTTATTTTTATTGCAATTTAGTACTTTTATTTACTTTGATTCTTGATAACTTTTGATTTAATGATTAGTTACATAGATTGTTCTTTAAAATACTAATATATATAACTATATATTTATAATATATCTACTAAGATTTCTAATATAACAATTAACAGTTTATTTAAAAGTTGATCCATTGATTTATACGAAAAATTCAAATAAAATACTTGAAGAAGTGTTTTTTTTATTACTATATCACAAGATGATAGTTTAACTCTATTATTAGTAATTTTTAAAGAGACAGGGGTCTTACTCCTTCAATAAAAAAGTTCTTTTTCGTAAGCTTCCAATTAAATTTTATATATTAATTTATATATATATAGATAGATAGATAGTAAGAAATTAGAACAACAAAAAATGCACTTCCACTAAATAAACTTACACTTTTTCTGACAAACTAAGCTTCTTTTCCCTCAAAATATTGGAGGCTAATTACAACAAAGGGTCCCTATAGTTTAAACAACAGAGTGGTCAGACGCTTGGGATTCATAAATATAACTACACTTTTTCACGTCGGATATTATCGAAAAGTTAATTTTCAGTTCTCAAGAACTATTTGATTAATTTCTTTCAAATTTTATATTTTGTTTTTCGAATTGTGTAATTTAAAATAATGCATATATTTCTATACATTTTAATCCAAAAAAGAAAATTAAGTACCAATAAGAAATTATAAATAATTACATGCAATCATTTTTATTTTTCGAAGAATTATACAAACTTTACAGGCAATCCGTTGCATAACACTTGCAAATAAAAGTTCAAAATAAAAGTAAGTTCTTTTCTTTTAAAAAAATAAGTTCTTCTTTTAAGTAGCAAAAACCGCAAAAAAAAAACAAACAAAAAAAAAATTGATCAAAAGCCGAAATTTTTCACTGCTTTCCAGACAAAATTATAGGACTGCTATTTCCTTTGTATTGGAACAACTATATTTTCCACCACTGCCCCTAATGAAAAGGTTAGGGTTATGAAAGTTTAACTGAGTTAACTTTTCTCAAGTTTATACAATTCTTTTTCTGAAGCCTACAGGAGCCCTCCTATATACAAATCCTAATAGTTATTTGTTTTGTTAATAACAATTTGCTTCATTATACCAATAGTTATGCCTCCTGCTCGCTGCCAATCACCAATCCCGATGATTGCTTTGCAATAAATGTTGTTTCCTATCACTAAATAGTTTTTTTCTAAGAAAGTTGAAATTATTCACTTGAAATATATGTGCCAGAAAGAATTCTGATTGCTTACGCTTGTGACCCCCCACTTGCGATTTCCCACATTCATTTCTTTACACTAGATGCTTTTTTTGAGTCAAATTCGATTGGTAAATAGATCTTGTGAAATTTTACTTCCAATATTTTATTATTCAAATCTATTAATAAACATGAATATTTTTTCGTAATCATAACATTTAATATTGAGGGTATATTGCTTCAGCAAATTTTGTGAGTTTACAATTGTATTTCCGCTTATAATGTTTCCACTTGCCAAACAGGCTGATGTATTGAAAAAAAAAAATGTCGTGCTCTTATATCGTTGTGTGTGATTGCTAAGTTCTTAATATTGTTAGGTTACAAATAGTAACTATAGTAATACAAATAGTAATAGATAATAATGTTGGTGTAAGGTAATATCCAAAATAATAATAAATGTGGAAATTTTTGTTGGAAATGTGTATCTTACTATGTGATTTCCCGACTTGTAAAAATTTTGCCAGAGTAAAATAAACACTTCGGCACCATCATTATTTTCATATATAGGTTGAAATCCTGATATGTGTTTTCTGTTCTAATGTATAAATCTCTTTGTTAGAACTTTCTTTAAAGTTTCTTTAACTTAGATTTAAAATTAACGGTGAACATAGATAAGGATCTAAACCAAATTTCCTTTGACTCTAAGTTATTGAAGAAAGATTAAATAAAGTTTTTTAAGACTGAAAATAAAATAAACAACGCGAGAATCAGCAGTCGTAAGCATGGAAAATTAAACAATACCTATGGATGACTTAGGAGGACACTACCTGGCCAAATTATTAGATGCACTATAAGCTGTAAAATCTTAATTATCAGGTGATACAATACAGCTTTATTGTTTTTACTCAGCTTTTAGCCAGTTTGCACTTGCTTACGTTCATGCATCGATTGTTTAACATTGCAATGCAATGCGTTAGGAACAAATACAAATAGGAAGTATATAAAAAGTCTCTTGAATAAAAACACATTACAAGTATTTTTAAATATAAAAGTATTGCATTTAAACTTGTGCAACAAACGCAATTATTAAAAAACTATAGTGTGTCTAATAATTTAGTCTAATTATTATGGTAACTATTATGGAAATTCTGGTTCAAACTCTATTTCAAAAAATTCTTCAAGGTGAGTAGGTTTTAGTGTTGTCATTTTCCGGGCTTCTTGAAATCATTAATAACATAAACTACATAGATTTGTCTGAGTTATTTTAAGAAATCCTGTTGTTTTCTGCAGAATATAAACGTCTTAGGCCAAAATACAAAATTTATGTAAAGTTATATGGTATAAAATTGTGAATTTGTCATTATCCTGGCTGTCATTTTCCTGACTTATGAATGCCAGGACATTGAAGTGTTACCAGAATTTTTTTTTTTTTTAAACTGCTAATACTGTAAGGAGGGAAAGTAAATATTAACCTAATACTAAGTTTATGTATGAGTATGATCGTAATATGCTTGGATGTAATCAAAGTTATTATTTATTTAATGATTAGTTATTATACACAATTTTATTCTGTACATATCAACAACAAAATTTTTTTTGTTTCTTTTTACAGTGGATAAAAAGAATTAATTTAAGCAATTTATGGTCCATCTAACATAAAGCTTAAGTTGAGTTACTTACTATTAACTTAAAATGACTGTTTTTTAAACTTATAAGCTAATATGTCATTTTCCTGGCATTTAAGATTTGAATTTCTATTTTTTTTTTCCTGATTAAATATCAATAAACTACACTGGTGTCTGTAAGATATTAATAAGTGTAACTAAAGAAGTATACAAAAAAAAAAGTTAGGTTATTTTGAAGATTTTAAATTTAAAGAAATTCCGAATTGTCATGTTTAAAAAAAATCACCCATATATATATATATATATACAGTCGAACCCCGCTATAGTGAACCGTCTGCGGACTCAGTAATGTGTCCACTATAACCGATGGTTCACTATATCCAAATTTTTTGAAGAATACTTTTTGCATAAGACAGTTGAATGATTGAAAATTGGCTTTGCAACTTTGCATAAGTTATTTAAAAAATTATTAACTAATTAACAGATAATAAAGTAAAAATTGATGGAAAAAGTAATTACGTCGCTAAATATTAGTTTTATTTTCCCTTTTTATGAAAAAAATTTGTGATTTTTGATTGAACACAATTTGACTTTAAATTGAGTTCATCAATTTTCTTATCTACAATGTGCAAAGAATGCAAGATTTTTACAATTTGAACAATATTTCGAACCATCTTAACAAAGCATCTTCTACGTTTTCTCTTTCAGCTCCAAGCAGTTTTTTCGATGAAACCATGTTTTTGTCGTATGCCGCAAGAATTGCTCTTCGATTTTTTCAAATGTTTGAAACTGTAGATTTTGACAAGGAAAATTCCTTACACAGGGTCGATTGATTGGTTCCATCATCAATACGCTTTACAATTTTAACTTTGTCCTCTATCGAAAGCGCTTTTCTCTTTAAGAGAATTTGCTATTTTCACTGCTTTTGAAATAAAAATCTTGTCTCAAATAGATAATGTAAGAATATGAAGAGAGCAGCTGTAGAATGAGTTAAATTGTTCCCCTTCTTGATTGTCAAGGGGTGATTTGTAAAGAATATGGTTTGAACAGATAAGAAAATTCCAAAAATTCAGCAGGTGGCCAAGTTAACTAGTTGTAGAGCAAGCTTGGGGAAAAGAGATAAAGCGAGGCTTGTCAGGGAGGGGGGAGTATAAGATAAATGATCTGTTTGACATTTATTACAGTATAGTTAGAAGTGATAAGCATAAAGGAGAGTAATATGTCACATTTTATAGGAATGCATTCATTTCCAGTCCCAACACCTACAAGTTTAAAGATGGAGGACTGAAAAAGATATTTAAAGAAATGAAATTTGAGTCCACTATAACCGAGTTTCCAAGTTCTAAGCTGTTCACTATAAGCGTTGAAAATAACATTATTTAAATAGGAATTCGGACGGGACCGCTAAAAAAGTTCACTACATCCGAGTGTTCACTATATCCCAGGTTCACTATAGCGGGGTTCGACTGTATTTTAGTCTAATCTAACTACAGCCCTCTGAAACATATCAATAACAGTGAAGTAGAAATATATATTAACTCCTTAACATACAAAAATTGCTATTTCAGTTTGAAAAATTACATGACAATCAGCAACTGTTTAGATAATTGTTTTTTATTTGATAAGAATTTTGCATTTTATAGCATAAATA